AAATATCCTTTATCCAATCCATGAAGAAATCCAGTTAGGCAGGAGGATTGTGAGTTCAAGTCCCACCTGGGCATCTTAGCAAAACCCTGCTTCAAATAAAAATACATTTTAAAAAGGGCAGAGGATGCAGCTCAGTGGTAAAATGACCCTGGTTTGATCTCCAGTACTGAAAAAATATCTAGTCGTCTCTACCCTCAAAAATATGCCCCCACATCTTCATACCACTCCATTTCTACGACCCCAGTCCAAGGGACCATCCTCTCACCAAGATTATTACAGTAGCTGCCTAACCAATCTCTCTGCTTCCATCCTTGTACTCATATCTCTTTCTAATATAGCAGCCAGCCAGAGTGAGGCTTATAAAATGAAAGTTTTCTGTTTAAAACTTTCCAGAAGTGCTTTTCAAACTTGAAAGTACATACAGAAGATGTGGGGTTTTGTTAAAATGAAGATTCTAGGGCCAGGGATTTAGCTCAGTGGTCCTGCCTCCTGCCTTGGAAGCACAAGGTCCTGAGTTCAATCCCCGGTACCAAAAAAAAGGAAGATTCTGATTCAGCAGGCCTAGGGGAGGGCCTAGGATTCTGCATTTCTAATAAGCTGCCAGTCAATGCTGACAGCACAGGTCCAGACACTCACATTTTGGGTAGCAAAGATCTACAAGGCCTGTGTGATCTAATCCTTTGTTATTCTGCTTTCCCACTGTCCCTTCCCTTCACTCTGCTCCAGCCACTTTGATCTTGTTGCTCCTCAAATAGGCCAGGTAGAGTCCTGCCTCAGGGCCTTTGCACTTGCTATTCCTTCTGACCAGAACACTCTCCCCTAGGTATGTGCATTATCTGCTCCCTATCCTATCCCCTCTGTTTTTCGCCATAACACTTTACTACTTTCTAATATTCTATATAATTTATTATTTTGCTATTATCTGCTCTCACACCAGAATATAATCTCCATAAAGGTAGGGATTTTTGTCTTGCTTTAAAACAAGGTCTGGGAAATAGTAGGTATTTAATAAAATTTGAAGGAATGACTACTTGTAGCCACTAAGTAGACTGTGAATAAGAAATATGTTGACTTACTGGCTAGTGTCAAAGGAATCAAAATAATATATCCATGAAGTCAGGGTCCTCAGAGAAGCAGGGATGGTACCAACCATAATGCTTAGAATACCAGACATAAAAGCATCTCCCTCTCTCCCTCTCCCCCCACCCTCTTTCGTACCGGGGATCGAACTCAAGACCTTGTGCAGGTGCAATGCCACTGAGCTACATCCCTGGCCCTCATTATTTTCCATTTGCCTTTCTATCCTTTCACAAAAATTATTTGAGGTTTGGTCTTCCTCTAAGGCTTTACATGGGAACCACAAAGTCAGTGAGGCAACCATTCTCTACTTTTCCTATCCTAGAACAAACTATTGAGTTTGGAACCTGGGATCATCTAAAGAGGTACAATAGGTGGAGAGTTCATTCTCCTGGTCATATGTGCTTCCACCAGCTGTCTTGCTGACTGCCAAGGCCCGAGGCTGTGCAGTGAGACTGCTGCTGGTGAGCAAGAGTACCAGAGACCATATACAGTACAGAGGTTTCGAAGAATGGCTCTTGCTCCATAATTTTGGAGCCAAGAAAGGGTAGGGACCACTGAGACAGTATGATAGCCTATTTTTTTATGCTGTCATAAAAATGTTTTTAAGCCTGTTCATCTGTATAATTTCCTTCTGGTTCCATTCCCGAAGAGGTAGAGATTATTAGCTGAGTAAACCGGAGTGTGTAAAGAAGGTCAATGACAGGGAGCCAGGGATTTAGCTCAGTGGTGCCACACCTGCTTCACAAGCACAAGGTCCCAAGTTCGATCCCTGGTACTCCCCCTCCTAAAAGGTCAATGATTCACTTGTGCTATTAATGAGAAGCACGAACCTCTGCCGTGCCCCGTTTTGTGGTGATCCTCAAGGTATTTGCTGTTAAAGAGCTCTTTCACAGAACAGTTCTGAAGTGAAAAAGAACTACAACCTATAGACTCCCAATTCACAAGGAAGATGCATTCTGGAAATTCAAGAGTGTATATATATATATATGGATAAGTATAGGGAGGGAATTAAGAGTTGGCATGACTTGTCTAGGCTGATGGTTGTTCTTTTCTCTTAGGATGCACCCATTGATATCTCTTACGTATTTGAAGACCAGACATTAGTTCAAAGGTAATAAATATTTGGAGCCTTATTTTATTATTATTTTGTTTTTGAGAAAGGATCTTGCTATGTAGTTTAGGCTGGTTTTGAATTTACTATGTACTCCACGCTAGCCTCAAGCTCAGTGATCCTCCTGCCTCAGCCTTCTGTGTGCTGGGATTACAGGTGTGCACCATCATGTCTGGCTCTTGGGAGATTTATTTTAAAAGGGTAGGGGAGTCAGGAGCCTTAAGCACAAGGTCCTGAGTTTGATCCCTGGTTCAAACAAATAAATAAAACTGTGGGGGAAAGGTCATCATACTCCGGGAATCCAGCAGGTCCACAGCCACATATAATTCATACAACGGTCATTTACCTTCTTTGGACCACCTGCCCCATTAGAATGGGCTGAAAGTATGATTCTGCCATTATTCTAGAAAGTTTTTTTTTTCTTAGTGTCTGTTTCTCTGATAATTATAAACCTGAGAATGAATTGTGGGGGTAGAGTAGGGGCAAAGTGGGTCATGTTTGTTGTTTCAGGATGAAACTTCAAAATCATGGGAACGAAACCATGTATAATGATTTTGTACACTTATTTGTATATCATCTTAGAGATTCTTTACATGTGAGCTCATTAATCCTTTGTTGATTGGGCCTAAGGCACAATAAAGAATAGCTAGACCCCTTGCCAACTCCTCTCTCTTAACACTTTCTCCACTACCTTTCCTGCTCACTAGGAATGCAGCAGAGTAAGGAAGGAATGAATCCCTGACTCAAGTTTTGTATGATTTTCAGAAGCTTTTGGTGTGTTTGTGTTTCTTCCTCTCTAGACCAGAATCGATCTGCTTTCAAGAAGGATTGCTGATGAACATTATTGAAGCCAAACATGTTTTAATAAATTCAGTCAAAGACTATTTAAGTGGCTGATATCTGCAGGATATTTTAGGGTTGTTTTTCTAATAAGAGTATATTAAAAATAAAATATAGCACATCAAACCACGGAATATTTATTGAATAAACTTGTGGCATACAATCAAGCTGTATTTTTTGCATTCATTCATTTCCCATTCTGCAACTTCCATCACATGAGCAGAGTAACCAGAAAGTTGTTTTCTATTTTCTACAAGATTTTTCCCATCATTATGCATCATTTTTGAGTCTTACAAGTACAGAGCTGAGTTTAGAGAGTTGCTACAATTCACCTGTCAGACCAAACCATGGCTGGTACTTGGCTGCTTAATCCCCGATCTGTGCCTAAGTCTCCAATCCAGACACACCCTTATGGTCCCAACTGGGGAACAAAAAAATGGCGAAGGTTCTACAGCTCCTAGTATAACCAGTCTGAAGGGTGGCCCTCCTCATAGATCACTTTATTTACTGTGAGTTGGCCTTACTGCTGAACAGTACACTTAATACTCTGACACCTGGCATGCTGCCTTCCACAACGCACCATCACACTGGTGATGGCAGCAGGGTGGCTTGAAGACGGGGGTGGGTGGGGGCAATGCAACAGAAATGGGTTCAATCAGTACCCTTTCTTATTTCCGGTCTGCCCATCCTCATATCAGATCATCTCTTGTTTCCACCTTTTCTGAGAAGCTCCCTTACCAGGCTGCAAAATTTTAAAACACCAAAGACAAATTTACATTACACTCAGTGATTACTCACAAGTACATCAGAATACATACTCACTTAGACAAACACTGGAAAAGAACACAGAACACTAGCGATTGAGATGGTAGGACTGTAATTTTTCTTCCTTCTTTTTTTTGGGTACCAGGGATCGAACTCAGGACCTTGTGCATGTGAGGCAGGCGGTGGAAACACTGAGCTAAATCCCCAGCCCCCCCTTTTTAAAAACCATATTTGTGCAATAAATTAAAAGGAAGGGAAAATCCTATCAGAGTGACAGGTGAGGAGGTGTCTCCTTGAAGAACAGAAAAATATCTTTGAAACACAATAGCCCTACATGGTTTAGGTGAACATAGTTTGAAACACTAAGCCTCATAAGCTGAAAATAAAATACTTTAAGCCCTTTTATTCTTCCTTCCTCTTTCCTAAAGAATATGCTATTGAAGCTACTGTTTCATAGATATTTCCCCAAAAAACCCTGATGAAAAAAGTGGTAAGGTTCTCAAATCATTTAATATCTTTTCTTTTGTTTACTCAAATGAAAATTCACAGTATTCATATATGTATTGCAAAATTGCTGCATTTACACTAGCTTGCCTACTAAAAATAAAAGAAGATACCATTTCAGTCTCTAAGAACCAGTAACAAAAATGTCCTTAGAGAATAAAATTTTGTAAAGTGGGAATTATAAACTTTAGGTTTTATTATACAAGGAAGTGGATGGATTAAGACTCACAAGTTTGGGACCTAGTTTCCTTTTAACTTTTGGAATTTAGGCTAGGTAGCATAAATCACCTCAAGTTCAGGGGTCACAGATATTGCTATATGCTGACTGCTGTTTAGTTCAGCAGTTGTGGATTAAAGGTAGACATTTCCCAAGAATACATGTTAAATAGAAAAATTTGTGCTCTATACTTGAAATATGAGTGCCTTATTTAAAAACTGAACAAAAACCACTTTAAATTATTATAAGAAGGGCATTTTATAATGGCATAGTCAAAATTTTCCTGTCACCCAGCAATCTAAATTTATCCTATGTATATAATACTGGAAATCAAAACAACCTTCCAAGCTTAACAAAAACAGTGAAAACTTCAACTGTCCCCTCCCCAAAGTGACCTAATTAAATTGAACAAAATAAGGGAAGGAAAAAGATTATGATCTCACAGTCCCACCATTTGCACTTTCCAAAAAAGTGATAATGTGAGGGGGTTTTATACAAAGTTAACGATTAAACTGAATGATATAAAAAGTAAACTGAAAGATTTAACGTTTATAACTAGATCTTCTTCTTACATAAAGGACAAAGTTTAAAAATGTTTAATATCAAGGCTGAGACAAGAGGATCACAAGTTCAAGCCCAGCCTGAGCAACTTTGTGACTAAGACCCTGTCTCAAAAAAATAAATAAGAATAGAAAGGGCTGGGGATGTAGCTCAGTGCAAAGCTCCAGGATTTAATCACTAGCACTGCAAAAAGTTGAATATCATTTTAGCTTCATCTTATGAAACAACTGACTCATTATATTTTTTCCCACCAGCACTCTTGACTATAGTTGACTCTCATTCTTTCCAGATGTTATCCTATCACTGAAGTATAGATTAAATAGAAATAAGGTGCTTACACTGGCACAGCAATAGACTTCCCAAGATTTTATATTTGAAAGTATTTTTTTTCTTTTGCAGTGCTGAGAATCGAACCCAGGGTCTTAGGTATGCTAAGCATGCACTGTACCACTGAGCTATATCCCCAGCCCCTGAAAGAGCCATCTTTAAGTGGATTATTAAGAATTTAAAACACCATATGTTTATATTTTCAATTCAAAAAATCCATGGGTTAGTTTGCTTTTTGGCTTGTTGGCTCATTTTAGAGTACAGGTAGGTACTGAAAGCAAAATAACTATTCCAGGGCAGATTATACATCTTACAAGTCAGTTTTCAAATTCCAGACTTGCTCTTTTTTTTCAGCAAAGCTTTCATTTTCTTAACAAAAGTAGCCTCCTATGTAGTTTCTATCAAGTCCACTTATAACACGTTCAACACAGAGGAATGATAATTTCCCCTAAGAACACGTAGGGTCGGCATTGTGTAGAGCCAATCGGAGCACTGAGCCTTAGCGTGAGATTAAGTTTCTCATCTTACTGACACTTTCTCTCCATGCCACCTCCCCTAATACAGTAGGATTTCATTCATAATTTGGATTTTTAAACCAAAACGTTAAGGTCAATCCCAAATAATTTACTACAGTTATTATCAATAAGCAGCTTTTTAATTGAAGGACTGAAGGAATTAAATAGAAGGCACAGTAGCACTGTAAAGCTTTTTCAGAGCATAATAATCTTTTTGTGTATGTGGAGAACACAGACTTTCTTTTTTGCTGTGAAAAATGCCTGCTGAACAATTAGAAAATCTTTATTTGTCATCCTTCCCTTTGGTCTTTCTGTATACCATCTCTCGAAAACTGGCCAGGATCTTGTTCTCTCTCTTTCGTCTCTCTTCTTGGTTAAAAGACGCAAGGGCTCTCTTCTCATCAGCACTATAGATCTGGTTCTCTTTTCGCAGTCGCACGGCCTCCATTCGGCGATGCCTGGAGATAATTTATTTTTGGCTTAATTTTTCAGTAATCATTCTCACAGATTGTCCTCACCGATCCCTTCTTAATACAGAACGGTCAATTTGAAAGCTGACACATAGAAGCCTTTTGAAATGAGTTAAATTATCAAAAGATCATTTATGTCATTTGATTCAAATTGTGATCTCTTAAATTCTGTCAACATACTGAATGTTATTATTAATTTCAAATGCCAAGGGTGTAAGTCCAGTTTAATTGTTCCCAGTAAAACAGTCAGAAGGCAAATTATTACATTTCCTAGGTATATGTCCATTTGCCTTAGTAGAATTGATAGCAGGACAGATGAGAGATTTAACTTCTTTAAGGTTCTACTTTACCAACACAACTAGAAGAACCAAGTCTTAATCTATAACTGAAGAGGGGTCTGTGGGTACGTTTAACTTCTTTTTTTTTTTTTTTTTGGTATCGGGGATCGAACTCGGGTCCTTGCGCTTGTGGGGCAGGCAGTGGAACCACTGAGCTAAATCCCCAGCCCAGGTTTAACTTCTTTAGAATCCACTAGGGCATCAAAGAAAAGAAAGAAGGGATTACTCACAAGGGTCAAATTACTAAAGGATAAGAGTAGAGGCAGAGCGAAACTATGACGTCATATTCAAAAGGTCTCTTTATTTAGAGGGCAACCTGCCTTTCTTGCATATATGTACCAAATCCTACAGAATCATTCAAGAAACTTGAGCTATTTATGGAAAAACAGATCTGGGTAAGGAGAAGAGGGGAGAATCAATTTAAATTAGTGTGAAGGCAGGGGAGTGGCAAGATGGGAGAGATGAAGAAATGACAACATATGGGCTGGGGGTGTAGCTCAGTGGCGCTGTGGCTGTCTGGCAAGTGCAAGGTCCTGAGTTCGATCCCTCGAACCATTAAAAAAAAAAAAAAGACAATATATTTACGTTGCTCAGGGAAAGTGAGCAGTTTACCTGGCACAGAAAGTGCCACATGAATCTACAGCCATAGAACCCTGACCATGCCCAGTCTCACCCAATCTCAGAAGCTAACCAGGGTTGGACCTGGTTAGTACTTGGGAGAAAGTGCTACGTGAAGGATGCTATAACGAACTTCCATGTATGTGACTCATAGCACGTGGGCAAGGTTTTTCTCTTGGGTACCCTGGTGTGGAGCTGCTGGATTATTGTTTCCCAAAGTGTACCAATGTATACCATCACTAGCAGTATTTAAGAGAATAGCAGCATTAAAGTAGAACTTGAAAGAAGTGCCACTTGATTGATGGAAAACTAAATCTCTCATCTGTCCTGCGATCAAATCCACAACCTTTCAAATGCTTGGCACTGTTAGAACTCTGAACTTTTTTTTTCTATCAAATGGGTGTAAAGTGGTATCTCACTAAGTTTTTGATTTCTATTTCTAATAATAAAGAATATCTTTTTATGTATGTATAAGCCATATGTATTCCTTCTGAAAAATGCCTGTTTGGTCATTTTTCCATTTTTTTTTGGGTTGCTCATAGGTATGCTTTAAATATTCTTAGTACTCCTTATCAGTTGTGTGTACTCCAAGATCTTATCCCATCATGGAACCTGTCTCTTTTTTTTTTTTTTTTTGTACTGGGGATTGAATTCAGGACCTTGCACTTGCCAGGCAGGCGCAGCGCCACCAAGCTACACCCCCTGCCCTTGATGTGTCTTTTGATGAACATGAGTTTTTAGTTTTAGCCTAGGTAAACTTCTCAATACTTTATTTTATGGTTAGTGCATTTTTTGTTTTCTTTAGAAAATATTTTATTCCAAGGTCTAAAAGATATCTGCTCTTAAAAAGTTCAAAATTTAGCTCCACAGCCTTTTATATATGGTAAGTTTGGGTCCTACTTTCATCTTTTTCTACTGGATAACCATTTCCCCCTTTACTCAATAGCTCCTTCTTTCTCCACTGATCTGACATCCCATCTCTTTGATTCTTTTTTTTTTTTTGGTACCAGGGATCGAACTTGGGTCCCTGTGCTTGCGAGGCAGGCGGTGGAACCACTGAGCTAAATCCCCGGCCCATCCCATCTCTTTCACACAACTGAAGTTTCATAAAGGTGCGGCTGTTCTTGGCCTCAAACTCAACTATATGCTTTCTTAACAACCAAAATGCCACATTCCTCATGGGACTATGATAAATAGTCTTTCAGTGGATAAAATATTTGTGCCAAAATATGAACAGGAAAATACATAGAAGTATTTTACTTCATTGAATAATTTGGTTGTTTCTGAGGTGCTATAAGCTTTGTAAGTTCTCACCTGTGGTAAGACAAGTCTCTCCTTCCTTATCTTCTTCAGAAATGACCTGGCTAAGCCGGGCATGGTGACAACTATAATCCTAGCACTCTTGGAGGCTGGGCTGGAGGACCAGTTCGAGCCTAGCCTGGGCAACTTAGTGAGATCCTGTCTCAAAATTTAAAAAAAGACTTAGGGATTTAGCTCAGTGCAAAGACCCTGAGTTCAATCCCCATGACTGCAAATCAATCAATCAAACAAAACCTGACTATCCTTGTCCTTTTAGTCTAGCAAATACATTATAGAACCAGCTTATTAAGTTTTATGAAAAACTGTTGATTGGAATTTTATTGAATCTATAGATCAATCTGGAAAGAACTGACAACTTTACAGTATTGCCTTCCTTCCATGAACATGTTATTTCTCTACTTAATTAGGTCTTCTTTACTGTCTCTCAATAATGTTTTATAGTTTTCCCTACAGGAAAGTACAAAGAAAGACTGATTCCTTGAAGTTGGGAATATAATTGATTTTGAAGCTAAATTTTATATATACTTGAGATTTTAGCTAAGTATGTTTATATCAAAAAACCAATACTAAACTAGTATTTATGTTCTACTTTTCATTATGAATAGTGACTTAATGAAAATCAATCACCAAAATATAACTCTGATAGTAAGAAGGAAAAGATCTAATCATAGAAACTGAGTTCAGTGCCAAGAACATACCTGCTACCACTCATTACGTAACCCGAACACTCAAATGATGCAATTTCTTCACTTGTCAACCCAATTTCACCTCTTCGTGGAATACGTTTTCCAGCTTTTACATATTCAGCCATAGCTGCACCTTCACCAGGTAATAGAGCATGGCCATAGCTACAAAGTAATTCAGAATTCAGAAAAGGTCCATTAAACCACAATACAGAAAGCTCATCATCTAAAGAGTGCACAAAGGATTTTCTTTCTGTTAACAATAGGAATACCAGTGCTAAGCAGTAGTGTGGTACTGTAGGAAGTCCAATGTGAATCACTTTAATTAGCAAACATTTCACTACAACTTACGTTACTAACCCAGAAATGCAAAAATACTTTGGAAGAACTGATGTTAGTGTGTGTCAATGTACAGCTTATACCGGATGGTTAATTTAGCCCTATAGGTAGGTATTGCCATTACTGCTTCTGTCTCCAGTTCATTCCCTTTCTCCTTTTCTCTTAAAAAAACCTAAAGTAAAGAAATAATGTATCTCCATTTGACATATCTTTTACTAATAACCAATAATAATGCTATACATTAACAATTATCTATTACTCTTGATTCAAAGCGACTTTAAAAGCTATTATCCCTTTATTCAATTCAATGAATGTTTTTTGCATACCTATTAAACTCAGAGTTTGTAATACAAAAATAATCTCTGCTCTTGTGGAGTTTTTTAGTAATAAGACATAACTGCAATACAAGGTAGAACATATAATACATTGCACAGAATCAATACACAGTGCTGTGAGGATTAAAGAGGGGTGGAAATCACAACTACTTGTCGAGGGGTAATACTGGGAATCAGTGTATCTCCCTCCTTTTGAAAATGGCTTTGAGAGCTAGTTAAGGATTTTAACAGGAAAAAACTGAGGGTAGGGAAGAATATTGGGCAGGGAAAAGAAGGGAAAGCATATTGGGGGAAGAAGCTGAACAAGAAAGAAAAATGGGAAAGTGTACAGCAAGCACTTTTAGTAGTCCAGTTCAGTTGGAAGCTAGAGTACAAATAAGGAAGTACAGGGAGATAAGTTTGGCAAGATTAAGTCAGGGCCATAGTTTTGGAAGGTACTTTAGATATTACAAATACACTGCTACTTACTTCAAAGGTTTATCATCTTGAGAGGCAAGTGTTTTTGGAGCTTCTGGGCCAATTAAATCTGAGGGTTCTTCAGCCTCTGCAAAAAAAAAAAAAAAAGATGTTTAGAAATGCATTCACACTTGACTCTTCAGTTACTTTAAAGTTTTGTCTGTTCTGAGTTAAAGGCTATCAGGAGAACTTACTTGATCGATCCTTCCAGAGATTCTCCAGAAATTCTTCTTGGGAATCTTTAGAACTTGAATCACTGGACTCTTTTCTGCTCTTCTTAGACTTCTTTTTCTTATATTTCTTCCTGTAAGGATTATAAATTGATACAAGTTCACTTAATATTCCCATGTTAAGGAGTATCTTAATTTTTTAAGGCAATGAAAATGATCTGAATTCCCACTGTAGTCAAACTTGCTAAAGAAGAATTTTAACTAAAAAATCTAACATTTAACAAAATCAAGCTTCACTATTAAAAAAAAATCACTAAAAGAACAACAAAATACCTTTCTTATGGGGTAGAATGACAACAGAAATAAAAAGGCTTAAAAAACAGCTCTTACCAAATTAAGCATTAATAATTTTGAGTAGGGGCCGGGGATTTAGCTCAGCGGTTCCAGTGCCTGCCTCGCAAGTGCAAGGTCCCATGTTCGATCCCCAGTACCAATAAAAAAAAAAAAAATTTGAGTGTAAGGGTGTAAAATACATCAAATGTTTAAATCCTTGAGATAATACTAAAAAAATAAATTCATTATTTTGCAAATGCATAAAACTGAAAAATTAAGCAATTATTCATTTTTGGCTCTTCCTTTTCATAGACTTTTAAATTTAATTTTAGTATTACATTTTTTTGGGCAGTGCTGGGGATCAAACCCAGGGCCTCACACATACTAGGTCAACACTCTAGTACAGGTATGAGAGTAGTATTATGGTTATTTTTTGGTTTGTTTTTAAAGAATGCCTATCAGAGAAAGGTGCTAAATTGCTTACGGATGGAATGACATCTGGAATTGGTTTCAAAATAACTGGGAGGGCACTATCTAGGAGTTGGTAATTACTCAAAGTGGGTGACGGGTACATGAGGGATTATACTATTTAATGTAATTTTATACACATTTTAACTTTTCCATAAAATGAAAAAACTCACGATCTGTGTTTCTTCTTTTTTTCCTTTTTCTTAACTTTCTTCGCTCTCCTTTTTGTATCTTCATCTGCAATTAAAGCACATTATAATTGAAAAATAATTTAAAATTCTAAAACACCAATATGTTTGAATAGATATATATCCTATCGCTATCCCATTTGTTGTCACAGAAAAATTCAACCATTCTAACATTTATTGCAACTTGGCAGAAACTGCATTAGGCACTTGGGGAGATATAAATTAAAGTCATGTAGGTTTTTAGGTGATATAGAATATTACTAATTTCATTGCATGGGATAATAATATTGTCTTTAAGTAGGAATATGTCTATTTTTTAAAGATACAAACAGAAATATTTAGGATCAAAGTATATTTATAATTTACTTTGAATATCTCAGCAAAAAACCTATACTTGAAACAAATATGTCAAAAATACTGTTAAATCTGAATGACAAGTATATGATATTAAGTACAATAACTATATTATTTTTGTTACTTTGATGAATGTTTGAACACCTTCATAAAAAGGGGGGGATATGTGTTGAGGTACAGGGGAGAATGCTTTCCAGGAGGTGGGTGTGGCCCAGGACAGAGATGGGTAAAGAGATACATACAATCCAGAGGGACAGAGGGAAGCCTGGAGCTCTGTGGGCAAACACGGGAGTCTCAAAACCAGGCTGATGGCGGAGGGGTGGGGTGGGGGTGGGGTGCTGGCTGGGGAATGGCTGATGAGGAAAAGGTGACACCTAAGCTAGTTCTGTTTAGTCACTTGATTACAAAAGCAATGCGTGCCCACTGCAATGCATAAGCCAAGCTGGAAGGGGGAGAGGCTGGCACTGTGGGCAGGGCCCCTCTGTACCAGAGGACAGAGTCAAGGGAAAGAACATGGAATACTGAGGAGAAGAGAGTAGTAGAGGACGGAGCAAGAGAGAGAGAGAGAGAGAGAGAGAGAGAGAGAGAGAGAGAGAGAGAGAGCGGCAGGGAGCGTGTGTCTAGAGAGGGGTCATTCTGTTGCAGAGATCTCGGAAAGAAATACACAGAGACACAGAATTCGGAAGAAATAATAAAATTTCTTCTCCCGAGCGGACGGGGAATGCTAGAAACCAGTCTGGTCAATATCCACACACCCTTTGTTCAGCATTTCCCTTTTTATATCCTTTTTAGCCATTATCTCATCCCTAGTGGTCTTTGATATGTAAATACAATTCCAGTTCCTA